AACTCCTACGCAGAAAAGACAATTGGAAAGTGGCACTGAAACTACAATGACTGTTTAAACTAAGTGGAACATCCATGTTTATCAATCTACATATTTACAATGTTCCTTTTTATTAGAAGAAAAAATGACTAGGAGGTGTCTTGTAAACGGCTGCAAAAACAGTCACGTTAAAAAAAAACTGACATGCTCATTGCATCGTTTTCCTAAGACTCCAGAGAAACTTAAATCATGCTTAGCTTTTGGCTACTGGTGACCATTTTGAAAATATTAACATGGTCATTCAGTATATCATGCTTGAAAAGAAAGCAATCTATTTCAGAATATGCTCTGAACATTTTTTTTTTTTTTTAAATCTTTCTTTTATTGAGACATTGTGATATGCGATACAGCATTCCAACGTGAGTAAAGGAATTAATGCATACAATAAGATTGGAAACATACAGTCGGTACCTAAATTCCTGATGATCTGTCTCATTTTTTATGTATAGTAAACATACTGGTCTAGCTGAGAACATCTGGCTATGCTATATAACGATATGCAACAAGTAAAGTTTCAGCGCCGCTTAAAGTGTAAAATAAGAGGGTGATGGTCCCATGGCACAGATTAGGTCAAAGGGTATGTAAGGCATTCAATTAAACATTGCTAGTGTGTCTTCGAGTTAGGTGTAAGGACTGGTCTAGTGAAGGAGGTATGCATACATTGCTATAGCATAGATAGGTCTGGTTACCGGAAAGCCTATATGTCGCAGCAGTTAGTAGCATTATATTTGGCTAACCCTTAAGGTTAACATGCTTTGGGAACACATTTATGTCATGCCTATTTCATAAAGTTTCATCGCATTAATATCTGTCACGGTACCCTCCAACATATACCAAACATTATGCACTTATACACGTTGAGTCAAGTCATTTATATTAAGTAGGGTCATCGCACATTTTGTAGCGTTATACTAGGAATTCACTTGGTGTCCGAAACTGAGTGCGAAGTATGTAAGATTATAGAGAAAACAGACATATGTATAGACGCTTTTAAGTGACAGTAGCTTAGCTAGGGTAAAAATAAAACAAACTAGGAAACCTCAGGTCATCATATTCAGCTTAAGGAGTCCCAAATTGGTGACCTTTCTGGTTACAGGGTTTCAGTCCAGCATGGGCAGATTACCAGTAGTCAGGGCTTCATCCGATACCCGTTGTTGGTCTGCTCAGTGAGCCAGCATATAGCATGCTGCACTTCGTGGCGCTATGTGAGTGAGTCAAACGACTCCTCCGTCCCCAGTGTTTTGCGATATGTAGCTGCAGCGAGCCATGAGCTCTGGCGCTCTCTGGGGAGATCTCGTGGTGTCTTGGATGCAGGTTTACTCTTCTGCCCCGGAGCTGTAGGAGAGCTGATGCCCATTTGCCACGAGCCCGGGCTCCTTTGTGGCCCAGGGTCGTCCCTGTTGGGATGGTGCGGCGGGCCTTAATCGTGGGTCATAGTGGCTTTTGTTTGACCGCCCTCCGCCGGTGTGGTCGGCACCTGTGGGGTGCTCCCCCTGTTGCTCTCTGCCCGGGAGGGCCAGTAGTGCTTGAATCCATAGATCGGGTCAGTAGTGTGCCCTGAAGAGATTTCTCCAGCCTCCTCTTGCCAGGGGCTTTGTCCCGTGCTGGTGGTGCGTGTGTTGTCGTCGCTGGTTTTAAGCGCGCTCGCAGCCTTGCCCAGAAGCGGTCGACTATATCGCCAATGGTGTCTTTGACAGCATTGTTCGTGCCTGACAGGGTGGGCTGTTGCTGCCGCATGGCCCCTTGAGCAGGGTCCAGTGCGTCCGCCATCTTGGAAGCTCCTGCGCCCACGTTTCTTGTGAGATTTGCTGGCCCCGTCGTGAGGTGTGGGGCATGAAGAACTTCGCCTGGCGGGGACCCGGATATCCCCCACCGGTCCAAAGGGGTGAGGGGAGGTGTTTTGTGCCCCCATGAGGTTGTCAGCGTTGGGCGGGAAAGCGGCCGTCTTTCCCCCTCACCTCCTGCACCAGGCCTCAACACGCTGCTGCGGTTTGCGGTCATTCCGGGCTTCATGTGTGGTATTGCTGGGTTCGTGCAGGCTTCCCCTGATCAGTCAGCTAAGTCTTGGGAGAATTGTAGCTCTGCACCCCGAGAAATCAGTGTATTTTGAGTCCAAGCAGCAGGAGCTCATGCAGGACACGTCCTGTCTGCTCGCTAGTTAGGCTCCGCCCCCCACTCTGAACATTTTTTAACAAAAATGTATCTTGACAAAGAAAAAAGATTAGTCCTAAAACCTGATGCTATACCAACAATCTTTCAAAAACAACATGTTTTATCGGTTGTTCATGATTTGCAGTTTAGTGAGCAGCAAAGCAGTACAGATGTTTTAATGGATGTCCAGACTTCAACAGCTGCAGTTGCCTCTGTCCATGTTGCAGACCAGGGTTCTTCTATGGTCTGTGACCATGACTATGTTTCAGGTTATTCGTATATTTATTACCAGAAAAAAGCTTTTCTAACATCGGGACAAACACATACACCATTGAGACATTGAATAAATGCATCTCTTCCTCACTGTATTTTGGACATAAGAATGCTTACACTCAAGCTGAAATTTTTACTCTGAAAAAACATGTTGGAACCTACACCCATGATTTGTGTAAAAGGCGGGATAATTGGACATGGACCGGTGTCCCTGAAGAACCTGTTGGAGCAGTGGATTACGAAAGACGACCAGATATTTTAATACAAGCAGAAACAGGACAACAGACGTTGGATAATCCTAAAGAAACTGTGGAAATGGATATCACAGCTTCCCCCTTTATCATATGCGGACCAGAAGTAGTAGATATTCCTTCTACTCCAATTTCTCAAATCTCAAGTATCCACAGGGAATCCGAAATGGAGTCCACTATTACTGTACTGGAAGATAAAGATCCAGACTACAGTCCAGAGGATGAGTCTAAAGATATTGGAGAGCTTTCCTTTTTAACAGAGCCAACACCGGTAGATTACGTTGCTGAAATTTTTTTCATTGTTTTTGAGTCCTGTCTGAATAAACTGTTACAGACACTTCACACTTGCACTTTTTCACCTCATTGTTCTGCTCCGATTACTTATAGGGAGAATGTGGTAATGGGTACAATGGTAACTGTATATTTAGTGTGTAAACGTAATCACCGCTGTGTACTTTGGCAAAGTTGCCGTGGATGTGATCTATTTGGATTTTGCCAAGGCATTTGATACAGTTCCACACAATAGATTAGTGTTCAAACTCAAGGAAATCGGTCTAGATGAAAATGCTTGTTCTTGGGTAGAACATTGGCTTAAAAACAGAGTACAAAGAGTTGTCATTAATGGTAAATTTTCAAGCTGGACAGAGGTGGCAAGTGGTGTCCCTCAGGGGGTCTGTTCTGGGACCCCTTCTATTTAACATGTTTATAAATGATCTTGAAGACCGCATTGAAAGTCATGTTTCAGTGTTTGCAGATGACACCAAACTTTGTAAAACAATACAATGTGAGCAAGATATTACTTTGCTGCAGAGGGACTTAGATAGACTGGGGGACTGGGTACTCAAATGGCAGATGAAATTTAATGTTGAAAAATGCAAAGTTATACACTTCGGCATAAAGAATACACAAGCAACGTATACCCTTAATGGAAGCGAATTAGGGATAACAACATATGAAAAGGACTTGGGAATTGTTATAGACAACAAGCTATGCAACAATGTGCAATGTCAATCAGCAGTAGCCAAGGCCAGTAAGGTATTGTCATGCATGAAAAAGGGCATTCATTCTCGGGACAAGAATATAATTTTGCCTCTTTATAAATCACTGGTAAGACCCCATATTGAATATGCTGTGCAATTTTGGGCACCTGTTCTAAAGAAGGATATTATGGCACTAGAAAAAGTGCAGAAGCGGGCTACAAAATTAATAAAAGGAATGGAACATATCAGCTATGAAGAAAGGTTAACAAATTTAAACCTATTTAGTTTAGAAAAACGTCACCTGAGAGGGGATATGATAACATTATACAAATATATTCGTGGCCAATACAAACCATTGTGTGGAAATCTATTCACAAACCGGACTTTACATAGGACACGAGGCCATGAGTTTAGACTGGAAGAAAGAAGATTTCATCTAAGGCAAAGGAAAGGTTTTTTTACTGTAAGAACAATCAGGATGTGGAATTCTCTGCCTGAGGAAGTGGTTTTATCAGAGTCCATACAGATGTTCAAACAGCTACTAGATGCATACTTGCAAGAACAGAATATTCAAGGATATAATCTTTCAATGTAGAGTAATAACTGCTTGATCCAAGGATAAATCTGACTGCCATTCTGGGGTCAAGAAGGAATTTTTTTCCTAGTTTGTTGCAAAATTGTGCTTCAAACTGGGTTTTTTTGCCTTCTTTTGGATCAACAGCAAAAAACAAATGTGAGGTAGGCTGAACTTGATGGACGCAAGTCTCTTTTCAGCTATGTAACTATGTAACTATGTAAAGTCAGCCAATGATTGGCAAACGTCCAATCGGGAATATATTTGCAAGTTCATCAATACTTTTTAGCGGATCACATTTTGCTAAAGTCAGTGAACTTTTCCAAATTTTCGGTGTAGCTTTTATTTCTCAATCGCTTCATTATAATTTACAACAAAACTATTGTTTCCAACTGTTCATTTGCACTACAGAAAGGAGAGAAGGTATATAATTGATAGTCTTTGGGGGAAGGTGTTATGTCTGGCAGGAGATGGACAATGTGACAGCCCCGGTTATAATGCAAAATACTGCACTTACTCACTACTTGAAGACACCACAAAAAAAATGTTGAGTGCAATACTATTCAAGTAAGTGAATCCACTTCCTCTGTTGCAATGGAATCAAGGGCTTTCACTAGGAGCATGGATACTATTTTGTCAGAATGATTGGTTGTGACGAGACCAATCTCGCCACATTGCATTGGAGAAGCCTGGTTGCTCGCCTGCTGCCTTTGGACTATGGCCCCCTGTTAAAAGACATCTTTTTTACCTGCAGAAAAGCTTCATTTGTGCTTTTCTGCCTGGGGTTTGGTAGATTTGTTTGAATGTGTTATACCCCAGATAGGAATCCCATGGAGCCCATTTGTATGAAACTGACTGTAAAGACTTTGGCTCCATGGCGATTAAACTGTATTCGTGTGGTCTGAGCGCCATTCGCTTAATAATGTGCGCTCAGACCTGAGCTATCTGGGGATATGTTAAATGTCTGTGTGTTATGTGTAAAAGGTGACTTTATGTAATTTAAAGTGTTTTACTGTCTTTGTGTCACCATGTGCATAATGGAGTCTTGTCCCTGTCCTGGGAGATAATTGAATTACTTCTCACTTATCTCCAGGGCAGAGGAGAGGAAGTCAGGATGCATTGTGGTAAAAGGTATGTGTATTGGGTTACCTCTCAGGATAAGGGGGAGGGAATCTGTGGGTTGTAACTAATATGTTACTGGATAATTTATACCTCCCTGTGGGCGGTCCTGTATTTGCAAGACTGTAATAAAAACCAGGCTGGGTGTGCCAGCACCTCAGACCACTGCTTGACCCTCAACACGGAGCCTTGTCTCGTTCTTGGGGGGATTCACTGTATGCTGTTAGAGACTGATTGCCAGGAGTGTAAGCTGATTGTCTACTTTTCCTGTTCGTCTGCTAGCAGCTATTTGGGAGGTTCCAGTTCGGGAGTTGGAGTGCTATTTTGTATCCAGTTCGGGAGTTTGGTGTTCTGCAGTAGCTGTGCCTGTATCTCTGGAAAGGGGGCCGATCGCCTAAACGGTTTTTACCCCTTGTGTGCAAAACGGTCCGTTACATTGGTTATTGCCAAATGTGGTGAAACCAACCTCGCCACTGGGCATTGGAGAAGCCTGTGTGCCCGCCTCCTGCCTGCTGACTATGGCCCCTGGGAGATTTGGCCCTTTAAATACAGTATTTGGGCATATTGTATTTTATTATGCTGCTGCTGGCCCTTTAAGAACCATCTGGGGACATACTGTGACTTTTGGGAACAATGCCCCTTTAAGACGGTGTCCCCATTGTCCCCAGACTGTTAATATATCATGTTCCTGGCTTTCTCCCACTTGGTTCAGTAAATGGGGCTTACTGAACCAGGTACCACACAGGTGGACCACCCAGAATTGGAAGTGTGTAGGCAATTTACCTCCCAGGCTGGAGGTAAATTGCCGAACGCTGGGGGGCCGCCATTCGACAAACGAACACGTGGCGGTGCCATCTTTTTTTATTCAATGCGGTCAGCGGTGTGTGTAGCCAAATTTATGGAACTGAAATCGGCTACACAATTCCGCGAACACCGCTGAGCCTTACCTTCTCCCACAATGATTTTGCAGCCGCAGAGACTAAGTCCTGTTTGGCGATGGGACTTTGTCATTTTTTCAGCCTGAAATAGACCGACTGCACAGCCCAAATCTATGGAACTGTTTTGGGCATGAAAATGTGCTTGCGGTCGGTCAAAAAGGGACCTCCAGCTAACTTTTTAACCCCTGGATGGAATTGGCTGAATTTTGGATATGTTTATAAGTAAAGTGTACTGAGTTCGAATATGTTTATGTTTGTGGTATGTATATTTTTGAAGTTATTAATATTTTGTAAAAACTGTGTTTCTCTGCCTGTGATAATTATATTAACCATTGTGTTCAGTAATCATATCACAGGCAGAGGGGAGGATTTTGTGTGGGAGTGTCTGTCTGTATTGTACGGATTGATTGGTTGTATTTCAAAACCCTGTGGGCAGTACAATGTTTGTGGATTGTGAATAAAAGAGGCTGTATGTGCCAGTACAGTCAGTTCTACTTCACCCTCAATTTGGAGTCCTGTCTCTTATTGGGGGAATCTGCTACAAGGGATTGCTATGCTCTGCATATTCCCTTGCTATAATCACTCCTAAGCTCTTTTAAGAGCTCGTTCCTGCTTCGCTCTGAAGGAAGAGAGGTTCGGCCTGCGGTGGTTGTGGTGTCGGCTAGTGGGCTTGGAATCCTCAAGAAGCGCTAGGAGCATCCATCAACAGAGGTACTCAGCCGGGGTGCCAGGGGATCCGTTACACCATCCTTGTCACTGACAAACATGTCAGTATTAGAAGGATAATGCGAGATAAATACACGTTCATTAACCATCAATTTGACGTATGGCACTTTTGCAAGAACCTTCGCAGCAAACTAGCAAATATTAGCATACAAAAAATGTACAAAGAACTTGGTTGTTGGAACAAATCTATAATTAATCACATGTGGAATGCATGTTCAACCTGCAATGGAGATACGGAATTGTTAAGAGAAAAGTGGAATTCTCTTTTACATCATGTTATTAATCTCCATGAATGGAACTCTGGAACTCAATTCCATCGATGTGATCATGGACAACTTACTGACTCTGATGAAAGAAAAAGGATATGGCTCAATAAAAATGGGGAGACTTTCATTAGACTGCAAAGCTTTGTAAAAGATACAACAATTCAGAGCGATTTGAAACACTTAGCGGACTTCTGCCATACGGGAAGTCTTGAGGTTTTCCACAGCTATGTTCTAAAATATCGTCCAAAACGGGTACACTTTTCGATGGATGGAATGGTGGCTAGGAACCAGTTGGCAGTTTTATCCCACAATGCCAATGTCGACAGAAGGCAAGCATCTATTCGGTCATCTAGAGAAGGCACTGGGCAAGTGGGGGAATTAAGATTCAAACCTTACTACTCCAAAAGAACGAAATCATGGCAAACCAAAAAAATATATGATCAAACAACAAACGATCACATTTTCCCAATGGTTTCCGATGTTTTAAGACTTGCTTCCGGTGAAATGGAAGCTAATTGGGAGTCTCGAAGATTTCATTTACCGCCAAATGTCGCTTCTACACCACGCCCACCAACCCAGGATTTGGAACAAAGACATGTTACACGGTTTCGACCAAGAAGATTGTAGATTAGTCACTCAGACGGACAATTTAGATTGCACCTTCTGCAGTAGTTGAATTTTTATATAATATTTACTGCTTGCACCTTAGCCACTAGCATTCTTTGTAGTTTTTGTATGGTGCAGTGATTTATTTATATTTCTGTTGCTAAAGTTAATATTTAAATAAAAAATGTTAGATTTTGTTTATTAAATTATTGTAAAAGTTTTTAAAAATTTCTATGTAAAAGTTAATAAAATTTATATTTAAAATAAAAATTGTGTCCTCTGTTACTATGTAGTTGAGTAGTGTAAGTTATAGACAATGTGGACAACCTAACAACGTCATAGAAATTAAATTATGGTGCTTGGAGGCCCCTGGGAGAAAGATTACCTCAAGGGTACTGTACATATAGTGTCAGGAAAACAAACTCGTTTTCCTGACACTATAACCCTTAGTTCACCACCACCCTCAGGTCCCCCCTTCCGCTGAGCCGAAGGGGTTAAAACCCCTTCAGCCACTTACCTTAACCCAGCTCCAGGGCTCCCTCGGCGCTGGTGACCTCTCCTCCCCCTCTGACGTCAGTTCCCGAGTGGAGAAGTAGGAGCGGACATAGCCGCACGCGCATTAAAAACGCCCATAGTAAAGCATTACTCTTTCTTTAAAGCATTATGCTTTCCTATGCACGTTCTGCACGCTGAATGCAATTTTTCACAGTGAGAATCACAGATGCAGCCTCTAGTGGCTGGATTAACCCTGCATTGTAAACATAGCAGTTTCTCTGTAACTGCTATGATTACATTCGAAGTGTTAAAACCTGGGGGACCTGGCACCTAGACCACTTAATTGAGCTGGAGTGGTCTGGGTAACTATAGTGGTCCTTTATCATCACTTGCAATTTGCTTTGAAATAATCACCAAAAGTTTTATTGGGAAAAAAAATATATATTTTTTTTTAAAAAGATTTTATTTTTACAATAAATTTTAAACTGTTAATAAAAACATAACATATATATACACATTAATTTTTAAATATAAATAACAATGATGCATCTATGAAACAAAACCAGTGTTCCCAAAAGGGGATTGGTGCACAAATAAGAAATTGTGTGCCAATGCCAAAACAGTAAATGGTAGACATACTGTGTCTCAGATAAAGTCCACAGCATTGGGCTTGGAGGAAACTGGACGATAACCCATGTAAAATAGGTCCGGTGCGGGCAAGTGTTGGCGGATCCACTTAACCACACATGATGGTATCGGACGTCTATTCCTGGGTCCCAAGTGACCAAACACCCACAGGGTAAATGCCCTGTAGGCCGTCTTCCTGTAGTCACTACAAGAGAATAAAGAAAAACATTTTTGTTTTATAATATTTATATGGTTTTAAGACATGAAAACATGAAAAGGAAGAAGATCAATATTAATAAAAATTTGAATGTACTCTACATGTATGAAAAGTACTCGCTACATGACCTTTTCGTCACCTATTTGTGAAGCAAAAATTAATAAAAAACTAAACCATCAACACAAAACTTATGACCATATTCTCACTAATCCTAATTGTCATTTTTGAAATCAAATATCACTATTTTTTTTTTTAAATCCACTTTAAATTAGAAAATCATGCAGAGACACCAGAACCAATTGAATACGCTGGTTCTGTTGACTATAGTATCCAATTAAAGCACACTATGAAATATATATTTAAAATTAAATATTTTAACCCCTTAAGGACCAAACTTCTGGAATAAAAGGGAATCATGATATGTCACACATGTCATGTGTCATTAAGGGGTTAAACTAGCCTTTACAGCATTTCTTCTGGTGACTTTATCCTCCGATTCCCAAAGCTCGCACCAAACCGGTAGAGACACAGGATGTGTTCCCTACTCACAATATCCTGCTCCAGGTACTCTAATTGAGAAATGCAGGACTTGTCTGCAGCAATCATTTCCTGCATTTTCTCTATCTCCCTGCAGCAGACATTTTCTTCTTCTGTCGGCATTGGCACACAATTTCCGCAAAGGCACCACTCAGATGTTCCAATCCTTGAAGGAACACTGGGTGTTGCTGTGCTCACAGATGCATCACGATCATTTTCGACTAGAGGGTCCCAGCCCAGTGGGTTTGTAGCCTCAACTGCTGCACTTCGCCGTCTCTGTAAAAATCGTCAATCTGTAATAAAAAAAAAATAGTTTTTTATTTTTCAAAATCAATTAGTTAACTGCTGTCATAAAAAGATTTTAACTATATATTATAGCTCTATAAACTTTTTAAAACCATTTCACTTACCATTCTCTGTGTCTCCTCATCCTCGTACAGGTCATGACCACTCGCCATTTTGATATAAAACTGTAAGTAGTAATTAAAATAAAATAACATTAACTGATGTTTGTTTAATTAAAGAAAAAACATAATATTGAGGTGTAAGATCTCCCTCATCGGCCCGCAGGGAGGGAGGCAGGAGAGGACCCAGGGAGCTCTTTCCAGGAGCTCCGTGGGGTCCCTCTCGCGAGTTGGGAGCATTGCCGTGGCAACACTCAGATCTTGCGAGAGTGAACTATCTCTAGCCCTGCAGGCTAGAGTTCACTCACACTAGGGCCACCAGGGACCAGGGATGGCAGCAAGGATTCCCCCCTCCCAGGCAAAAGGTAAGAAGGGAGGGGGGCTATTTCCTAATCTGTCCCCCTACCCCCACACACAGCACCCTTACATACACACAGCACCCTCACAAGCTCACACGGCACCCTCACACACAGCAGTGTATGTATGTATGTGTGTGTATATATATATCATACATATACACGCGGCGTGTCAGTTTGTGCTTGTGCTTTAGGGTGCACACCCTTATGCAATAGGCTGCGCATGCCTATGTTTTAATATATACATATTCTTAAACAAAAGCACGGTGTGTGTGTGTGTCTATATATATATATATATAGACACACACACACACACACACAATATATACATTAGTGTGTTTTTGTGTATATATACAATCACTATATAAAGATATATATTGCATATATACACACACTATATATATAAATATATATACACATATATATATTAATAAATAGATATATAATATTGCACAAAGTGTATTTACTGTGTATGCACACTAATATATATATATATATATATGTTGTGTTTAAAAACATGATATACAGTTTGTGTTATATATATAGAATGCACACATAGTGTATTTGAGTAGACACACACTATATATATATATATATATATATATATATATATATATATGTATATATAACAAGAAAAATAATCCTGCACTCCACTTCCAAAAATATACTTGCCCGGTGCTTGTCCAGCAAAACACAGAAAGAGAAAACAAGATAGCACTCCCAGGACTTACTAAATCAAAGTATAAAACTTAACTTTTAATCAGCTTCCAAAAAAGATCGACGTTTCAGTCTGTTAACCACAGACTTTCATCAGGACTGACACTTACACTGTAAAAACATACATATACAGGGAGTGCAGAATTATTAGGCAAATGAGTATTTTGACCACATCATCCTCTTTATGCATGTTGTCTTACTCCAAGCTGTATAGGCTCGAAAGCCTACTACCAATTAAGCATATTAGGTGATGTGCATCTCTGTAATGAGAAGGGGTGTGGTCTAATGACATCAACACCCTATATCAGGTGTGCATAATTATTAAAAGCAAAATATAAAAGGAGGGCTGCGCCAGAATAAACAGTGTCCAGTATCAATAGTTATTGAAGATAAAAAGTCCGACCTAAAAAGGTATCCTCTCTGTCGTCTTTAGGTACAGGAACGCGATCTTCAGGTAATATATAAAAGATAAAAGGAGAGAACAAACGATGGTGCAGAATGTACGGTTCAAATGAAGTAAAAATTGATTAATGATAACGAACTCACAATTTCCAGAGCTTCTGTCCAGCTCTAGGGTAAAGCGCACACAGCGGTATAATCCCCGCTTATGGGATTTATGATGGGTTCGTCAGGGTATCCAAAACTCAAAGGAAACAGAAACAGCCAAATAGTGCTCTCTGTATAACTGTATATTATAAAAGAGAATAAAAAAAACGTACTTACAAGTACAGAGCAGACCAACTGCTCTTTGATGTCAGCGCTGGTGGAATAATCCCCACCTATGGATTTCTTTGGTTGTCAGGAACTTGTAGAGATAGTATTAAAATCGGAATAGAGTGTATATAAAATATAACAATGAACTAAAACGATAAATAGCCAGGGTACATGTATAAATAAAAGTAGTTGGGACTATCAGTTAACCAAAAACTTTAATATTTATTATACAAAATTAAATTTCCATACATTCTGCACCATCGTTTGTTCTCTCCTTTTATCTTTTATATATTACCTGAAGATCGCGTTCCTGTACCTAAAGACGACAGAGAGGATACCTTTTTAGGTCGGACTTTTTATCTTCAATAACTATTGATACTGGACACTGTTTATTCTGGCGCAGCCCTCCTTTTATATTTTGCTTTTATCCTGTATTTTAGGGTTTTGGGGGGATTCCCTTGTTGGGTTGCTGCCTTACTGGTTGTCTGGCGCTGTCTCTTTTCCTTTATTTATTTTACCATTGTGCATAATTATTAGGCAACTTCCTTTCCTTTGGCAAAATGGGTCAAAAGAAGGACTTGACAGGCTCAGAAAAGTCAAAAATAGTGAGATATCTTGCAGAGGGATGCAGCACTCTTAAAATTGCAAAGCTTCTGAAGCGTGATCATCGAACAATCAAGCGTTTCATTCAAAATAGTCAACAGGGTCGCAAGAAGCGTGTGGAAAAACCAAGGCGCAAAATAACTGCCCATGAACTGAGAAAAGTCAAGCGTGCAGCTGCCACGATGCCACTTGCCACCAGTTTGGCCATATTTCAGAGCTGCAACATCACTGGAGTGCCCAAAAGCACAAGGTGTGCAATACTCAGAGACATGGCCAAGGTAAGAAAGGCTGAAAGACGACCACCACTGAACAAGACACACAAGCTGAAACGTCAAGACTGGGCCAAGAAATATCTCAAGACTGATTTTTCTAAGGTTTTATGGACTGATGAAATGAGAGTGAGTCTTGATGGGCCAGATGGATGGGCCCGTGGCTGGATTGGTAAAGGGCAGAGAGCTCCAGTCCGACTCAGACGCCAGCAAGGTGGAGGTGGAGTACTGGTTTGGGCTGGTATCATCAAAGATGAGCTTGTGGGGCCTTTTCGGGTTGAGGATGGAGTCAAGCTCAACTCCCAGTCCTACTGCCAGTTCCTGGAAGACACCTTCTTCAAGCAGTGGTACAGGAAGAAGTCTGCATCCTTCAAGAAAACATGATTTTCATGCAGGACAATGCTCCATCACACGCGTCCAAGTACTCCACAGCGTGGCTGGCAAGAAAGGGTATAAAAGAAGAAAATCTAATGACATGGCCTCCTTGTTCACCTGATCTGAACCCCATTGAGAACCTGTGGTCCATCATCAAATGTGAGATTTACAAGGAGGGAAAAACAGTACACCTCTCTGAACAGTGTCTGGGAGGCTGTGGTTGCTGCTGCACGCAATGTTGATGGTGAACAGATCAAAACACTGACAGAATCCATGGATGGCAGGCTTTTGAGTGTCCTTGCAAAGAAAGGTGGCTATATTGGTCACTGATTTGTTTTTGTTTTGTTTTTGAATGTCAGAAATGTATATTTGTGAATGTTGAGATGTTATATTGGTTTCACTGGTAATAATAAATAATTGAAATGGGTATATATTTGTTTTTTGTTAAGTTGCCTAATAATTATGCACAGTAATAGTCACCTGCACACACAGATATCCCCCTAACATAGCTATAACTAAAAACAAACTAAAAACTACTTCCAAAAATATTCAGCTTTGATATTAATGAGTTTTTTGGGTTCATTGAGAACATGGTTGTTGTTCAATAATAAAATTAATCCTCAAAAATACAACTTGCCTAATAATTCTGCACTCCCTGTATACCAACATACATATTAGCAATCAACTTACCCACCACCGAAATAATTGCATCTCCCTGTCAGCTCAGACCGGGTCTCCCGCGGGTTCCGCCGACGTCAGTGCGTGCGTCAAAATGACGTCATCACGCAGCGCCGGCGTCATTACCGCATCACGTGACCACACGTCCGGCAGCATCATGGGGAGGTAAATACAGTAGTGTACATGAATACATGTTGGTAAACCCAAATACAATATTAATCCCTGTTGAATAGGGAACTAGATAATTGAAACAAAATTATTAATGCATTAATATAGAAAATGCTATGATAATTATATCTTTTAAAGGGCAATACACATAAATTCAAGTGAATGAGGGGATTATTATGATGGTTAAAAATAAATAGAAAAATGAGAAACTATCCTCTTAGATATCATACAAGAGCATATATATAAGCACAACTGATATCCCTAAATTATACCACCCCCTATCTGTATCATGAAACAGCCTATCAAGGTAGAAAAAAGACAAGCAAATATCAAGAAAAAACATATGAAAAAACATGTAAAACCAGACAAGGATGATTAAACTTTTTGCCATCATCTATGAGGCGTCAAGGGAATATGCCTATCCCACCGGGTGGGCATCATTAACCCAACTTCATATCATCCGGTCTCCAAAGTATATCACCTCATAAGCACAACGATATTGCTGTCACCTCACCAGCTGGAATCCAACATATTATAGGTAAAATATTAATAATGGGATGCTATCACCTCAAAAGACAATAAATAGAACCGGATCCTACAGTGAGGAACACATGTGGTGACTCCACCCAAAAAGGTGGGCACCCATGTTATAGTCCTATGTGGACCGGTAAAAAACTTCAAAACCAAAAAGAAAGGAAAAATAACCATCCTCAAAACTGAATATACAGGAAGGTAGCTTAACCCCACGGGTGAGCCCCTATCTCCTATTTCAGTATACATAAGGTTATATATAGCCAAAATCACAAGAACACAGATAGTGAATATTTTTCATTTAATCCATCCGGATGGACCGTTTGTAATGTTCTTATCCAAAACAGTTCACGTTGTAGGAGCATCTTCTTACGATCACCACCCCTCCTTGGCAAAGGGACATGATCGATGGCCATTAATTTCATAGATGGCAAAGTATGTCCTAGTTCAAGAAAGTGCTTCGCTACTGGTAGCTCTGACTTGTGATCCCTATATGCTGTTCTTATACTAGACCTGTGGTTCCGGATTCGTTCCCTCAATGGTAGGTCTGTTTTTCCAATATAAATTAAGCCACAAGGGCACATTAGCTTGTAAATCACAAAGTCACTAGTGCAGGTTAGCCGGTGTTGTATTCGAAAACTTG